GCTCATATCTCCGAGTCTCGTCTTAATGTGAGATATTTATCTGAATTTATAAATTCCCTGCAGTGAAAACCATGTTTTCCTAAAGCTATCGTAGATGTCCTCTTAATAGAGCTCATAAGGTCTTCGATAAGGTAAATTTCGCGAAGGTGAGCTAACCAGGTAGAGTAGAAAAAAGGACGGGTTTCTAGGAATAGGGACCTCAATAAATATTTGTATCATTGCATGGACCTGATCCCAGAAGTTTTAACCCCTTCATGACTGAGCTTGTTTTTAGTTTCTGTTCGTAAATGACTGACACACTTTTGACATTGTTTTCTGATTGTTGCAACAACGATCAGCAAACAAACATTCTTCTTCCAGGAATAGATACATTGTAGGAATAGACACATTATGTATCCATGAAAGAGAAAAAAAAAAGCCAGTATAGCTTGAGAGAGATATCTCTCTCGATCTATACGAGCTGTCAGAATGCCGGCAAAAGCCGGCATGTGTGTCCGCTCTGCTGTGACTCTCAGACACCCGATATTAAGGTATCGGGTGTCTGAAAAAGGTTAACCCTTTCATTAATGAATGCCTCTGTAGTAAGGGCATCCATTAATGAATGTTAAAAGCTGATTCTCAGCGTTAACAGCCCTCTAAAGCAGCAAATAACTCATCACGTACAGTGTACGTGACAAGTCATTTGGTCCCTTTGTGGCTGGACGTACAGTGTACGTCTCCCGTCACGAAGGGGTTAAAGTACTGGACATGACCAAAATACATGCATCATGTCCACGTCCGGGTTCTTACATTACCAACAACAGTTGGAGGACTGTGGGAACATAGCATGGAGCGTCTGAGGAGTCCTGTACCACCTTGCAACAATTTTATACCCAATTCTTGATACTTATTACATATTGAAGATTGATAAGATAAAGATTAGAGTTTTGTACGTGCCTCTGGGGATAACTGTATATGAAGATCTGCCTCCCACCTTGTCAAAAACCACAGAGGGGATGCCGCTTCCCCCCCAACCATGAGTCTATAACAAATGTTCCAGAAAAATGCACACCACAGCGCTCAGCAGACTCCCAATGATATTCTCCACCAACAATCGTTTGCAGGTTGCTGTCATCAAAAGGCCACTGGGAAGTATTCCACACAAAACATGCAAAACAAACAGCGCCTTGTCCTCGTGTAATACAGTTTATTAATAGTTTATTAATCAATGAGCATACAAGCTGACATAAAATACTACTCACATGGTAAACACTAAATGAAGGGTACAAGGCAGACCCCACACAAAGCTGCCTTGCTAGCTCTGAGGAAGGGGGTATATTCCCTGAAATGTGTCAGTAAACAAGGCAGCTTTGTGTGGGATGAGAAGAATTCCCATCTTGGATAGTTGTCACTGGAACATTTGACTGCATTGTATGATTTACCCTTGACTCTTGCTCTGATTTTGAATTTACCTACAATTTCTGTGTTTATAATGGTCACCAATAAAAATAGAGAGGTGAAACTCTATTTAAAGCAAAACATTTAAACATTTGTAATTATGACATATACAGAACCAGTTTCTTAAGCAGTTAATTGGTTCATTAGTTTTTGTTAAAAAAGGCCTTTCATTTTTGGTATGAACAATCTTGAATTATTTGATAAAAGCTCTTTTACTTTATTTACATATTTGTTTAAGGGGTTATGTATGTATGCAAATCATTGCAAGCACAGCAATATTATGGGAAACATTTTACTAACTACTTTTCTATTTTTTTAGGTCATATTTCTTATAATGTTCCTTCAAATCATATTGATTCTAGTATCGAAAGACCTGTATCTAGAGGTGAGTTTTTCTATCCTTTATTTATTTTTTTGTTTTTATTTTACTCTTTTGGCAACAGTGGCCATACAGAGGAATGCACTTTTCCTGGAATAACTAATGGTTGTCAAAACGGTCAATGACTCAAATATTGGAATTAAAGTATATGTAAACCCTAAGAATTAACTTCTGTTATTTGCTCCTTTTTGATCTGGTAAAGTATATCTATGGGTAAAATCAGAAGTTACATACTCTGTGATGCCATCTGTAACTAGCATTAATGCAGCATTTTTCCTGACCCCTCCCCCGCAAGTGTTATTACTTGTTTATCCTTCAAGCCGACCCTTTATTTTTCCTCGTCACGTACAGTGTACGTGGCCAGTCATATAGGCACAAAGTGACAAGACGTACACTGTACGTCTCCCGTCACGAAGGGGTTAACAGAGTGACAATGCTGTTCGTTCTGTGGGAAAATTGAACAGCAGGGTCATCATTCTGTGGAGAAGGAAGTCTTTGATGGACATGTAGTTTTAAATAGATTTTAAGTAAGAAAGAGTAGGTACGAGTGAAGGCTCAGGTTTTGCTATCTGTGTCCTGCTGAGGAGATTGGATAAGTAAGGGGAATTTCCACCTTAGAAAGGTGTCACCAGACTCACAATCTTTTGAAAGATTACCGATCACCTCTTGTTCTCATGTCAATTCTAAGATTTTTACTTTTACTTTCTGCTTCAGTCACAGTGGCCACCAGGACAAATAAAGGGGGGAAATATGAGCTATTTACAGACTGCATGATATCCGTCATTTTTTATTGTGACCATAGCTCGACTTTAAATATACCATAAAAACATTTTGTTAAAAGAACAAAAATCCTGTTAATCCTGCCAATAACTTCCTGTGCACTCTGCCCTCTCTGCTGACTGTTATCAGCATTGTTCCCAATCTGCAGACCACTTAACACATGCCCCTATGTTATAGAGAAGAGGAGGGGGAGTTGTATATTTGTGTATACACTGTGTATACACTTATATACACTTGTGTATAAGTGTATACACTTATATATTATTTTTTGGTCTTGGGTTTAGATACGCTTCGAATAAACACTCACAAAGAAGATTTAGAACACTAAGGCCTGGTTCACACCTGGGTGTTTTACAGCGCGTTCCTATGCGCTGTAAAACACTCAACATGTGAAAACCAATAAATGCCTATGGGCATCGTTCCCACCTGGGCATTTTACAGCGCGTAGGAACGCACTGAAAAACACCCTATGCCCAAAGAAGTACTGGAGCTTCTTTGGGGCGTTTTTCGGTGTGTTTCCATTGGTATTCCCGAGTGTGGATCGGGGTTAACAAAGCGGTAACCCCGAGCCACACTCGGGAATACAGCGTACAGGTCTTACGTTGTCCTCGATCCCCGCTGTGTCCTCCGACGGCTGCCGACTTCCCGGTTCCATCCCTTGCGAGCTGCCGCGTTGCCGGGCAGCGGAGCCGGCAAGAAGTTTTAAAGTGAAAAAAAATATAATTTTTTTTAAATAGAGAAACTAAGGAAAAAAACACAAAAAAATCATACCGCCAGTGAAACAGTAATGCCGTACTGTTCTATTACAATACTTCTACACTGGGCACCTAGAACATGATATAAAGACAAATTCAATACTGGCAATAACACTAAACTTTTTTTGTACAGAAGCTAGGAGAGATGGAGAGTTTCCCCCAGTCCACACACAGATATGCAGCATTACACTTCTTCACTCTCCCCCTGCAGCTGCCGCAGCTCTGCTCACACTCCCCTGGTCTCTGGGGATTTCTGCAGCAGTTGTAGCCTCTGATATCCCCCTTGCTGCCCCCAGGTCTGTGTCATAACTTTCCCATTTGCTCTAAGATAAACCGCGCGGGAAGCCAGTCAGGGTGTACCTACGAAGGAGCTCACAGGGCATATCTTACCAGTATCGGGCTTTAACTGCTTGCTGTCTGCCCGTTGTAAAAAAACAATATACAGCTTTTTTTTCTGCTCGCGCGCGCACATGCAGAAAAACTGTCAGATGCAAACAGCCGTTACCGGCTGTTACACATGCAAGCGATCGGTGTGTCAGGAGGAAGATCAGCATCTTCCTCCTTGCTGATCTCCATCTGACGTCTGAATGCGGAAGTAATGTGTATTACATCACTTCCGCATTGAGCTGTCATTTCTCTAGCTGCTATAGCCAGAGATGAAGCTGGTGAAGCAGATCTTTGCTTCATCAGCTTCTTTGGTGGTCCCCAGGTGACATTAGGGGTCTTAGAGACCCCTAATTTCTCCATAAAGAGGACCTGTCAGTGTGCCTGTGCTATCACATAGGGGGATTGTTAGCCCTCTATGTGATAGCAATAACATTAAGTGTAAAAAAAAAGTAAAAAATAAATAAATGTCACATATAAAAAATTATAATTAAAAAAAATGGTTAAGTCCCGTAAATACGCGTCAGGTGCACCAAAGCGCGAAAATGACAATTGCGCTACACATGTTACATATCGCCGCGAACATCGGAGTGAGAGCAATAATTGTAGAGCCATCGATCAATGATAACGCTAAACGGATGAGCGGTAAAATCTTTTAAAGTGTCGCCTATGGCCAATTTTGGATATTGTGGTTTTGAGGTTTCGCTAGCTCAAGCAATTTTACGGATTGACATGTTTGGTGTCTATGTACCCGACATGACCTTGTCTTTTATATTTTGCCAAAAAATTGGGTGGTAATAATAAATGTTTCATAATTTAATATAGGGGAACCAGTTTTTTTTTTCAAAATTTTCGGTAATTTTTCCTTAATATAGTAAAAAATAATAACCCCAGTGGTGAATAAATACCACCAAAAAGTTAATTTCAGTACAGCGTTGCATGACAGAATAAATGTAAGTCAAAGTATGGCCTCGCTAAATACTGAAAAATGGCCCGGACAGGAAGGGGGTTTACCACCCTGGTTAGCAAGCGGTTAAATAATTAATCTGCATTCACTGGCACTGACTCACTGGAGCTGCATTTACAGGACAAAAACTGATACGCAGCTCCCCAGGGACACACAAGTGAAAAGCGGGATTGGCAACTATTGGGGGGGTGGAGGGGGGGTAGGGTTGCCAGCTTTTTAGAGAACATGCAGGGAAGAGCATGTAGAGACAGCTAGGACAGAGAGCGAGGAGAGACAGCCAAGAGAGAGTGCAAGGAGAGAACAGCCAGGAGAGGGAGCGAGAAGAGACAGCCAGGAGGAGGAGAGAGAGCAAGGAGAGAGAGTGAGGTGAGACAGCCAGAAGAGAGAAAGCGAGGAGAGACAATCATGGGAGAGAGAGGAAAGACAGCCAGGAGGATGAACGAGGAGAGACAGCCATGGGAGAGAGAGGAGAGACAGCCAGGAGAGAGAGTGAAGAGAGATAGCGAATCCCAGACAGGTGGCAACCCTGAGCGGGGGAGGGGAGGCCAAGGGCCCCCTCCTGGCTGCGGGCCCTTAGGCAGGGCCGATTACCCAATCAGTCTACCCCTGATTTCAATTAGAGTGACTTCCAAGAAAAATCTCTCTAACAGATAGGAAAGGGAGACAGACCAATCTTATGTATGTTATAGTTCCACAGTGTGTGGAAAACTATGCAGTTTTCATAAAATATATTCTCCAGTTAAAAGTTCTGAGCAGTTAAAGCTGCAAAATGCCAACTTTTGCTCTGATCACAAAAGTATGACATAGTCCTGCTCATGAAGCGGGTTTTAATGTTTATCTCCATCGAAAACCATTTTTAAGTGGTTAAAATCTCTATGACCTTTTTTTATTGCAATCTATTTCTATATATTTTGGAGTTTTCTCCTCACTTCCTGTTTATTTAGCACAGGCAGCAATTAAAAGTTTCTAGTAGAGTGAGGAAGCTTTAGAACCTGTCTTACGATTTTATTGTTCAGAAAATATTCGATTTTTTTTCTTTGGCTATTTTTTTATGCGTTCTCACCATATCCTTGTCTGATGTTTTTTTTCTCTTTATTCCCGTAGTTAGTGGGGTGGAATGGGGCTTTGCTAAAAGTTCCTTCCTTCTGAATTTTGTTTGAAAACACCCTCTGTGTTGTGTACAGTCTCTTCAAAGTATCTAGTACAGCATCATTGCAGATCCTTGCAATAAATGATCCATGAATAGGACCCTCTAGTGGTGGAATACAACACTTCTGACGCCACTACTATTCTGAGCAAGCGGTAAGGACCCTGAAACCTCTCAATAGCAGCAGTGGGTTTGTTGTATACCTACACTAAATGTGTACAGTTTACAGATCATTTATCGCATGGAGCTTACCCAGGCTACAGCACTCCCCTTAGAAGAGAGTAGACATAGATGTACTAGACTCCCGTGATGATACTGTGACATGCCTGAACCTAAGCAGGCTTCTTATAAGTGCAGTACTTTAAAATTTTTAATGGTTTAATTATGTAATGTTCTGCTCCTTGTTTTTTGTCTAGTAAATTAACAGTAAAGTACACGGTTAGAATTTCAAACAAACAAAATCGATTTCAGAACATTCCTTCGACTTTCTAATTGTTGATGGGGTCAAATTGAGGATCTGTTTCAACCACTGTGACGAAAAAAATTGAAGGAGGATGTTGACATTGTTTCTCGATTGAATGAAATTCACAGTGAATGTGGTTTTTGTTCGGGAAACTCTATTAATTCCAAAATTTTATGTTGAATGAAAACAAATCTTAAATGAAATTGCAAACGACAATTGCTCAGTCTCTGATGGCATTATCGATTGTTCTGACGGGATTTTTTATATGAACATTCATTTGAAAATCTATCCATCTACCCTACTTAAGTGAATTTAAATATAGTGGGGATAAACATCTGTCTATCCTGAGACAAAAAAAGACTCCATAATCACATCCCGTGGGTTGGAAGTGGAGCCTCTCGGGTCAATAGATCAATTTCTATTTTGTTTGCAACTGTAGCTCCCAGAATATTATTGAAAAGCATTTGTAGTACTGCTGGTACGTCCTCAGACCCCGTGGCCTCTGGTAAT